TATTGAATTCAAAAGTAGAAATATTAATAAGGTTAATTAAATATTACGTTTACACTATTAGAAACAATACGTAAAATTTACTGTATAAAAATGCAGTGTGTTTATATATATAATATATACTGTATTCTATTACATAAATAAATATATATATATATATTCATAAACCATGTATTTAAAAATGTTTTATAAATATAAAGGTTTTAAAACAGGTTTAAAATTTTTTCAAAAGTATAAATTATGACTACTTTATGAAAAAATTTTATTACTTTTTTTATTTCTATAATAAATTAGTAATGTTCTGCTTGTGAAAAACATGGTGATTTGGTTGTTTTTAAAATTATAATGCATATCTAAGGGAGAAAAACAATTATTGAGATCATATATAATAATATATAAATCGTTTCTTTGTTTTTTTTTCTAGTTTATGTAAATAATCTTTTATAACTTTTAAGATAAAAAAAATTTTTTTCCAATCAATAACAGGATATTTGATCCTGTTTCTACTAGGAAAAAAATGTGATTAAATTAGAGAAACCCAGGAATTTGTTCAAAAAATAGAAGTAGAACACATTTTTATTATTATCTGATGGAATTCATGTCATATGAATTCTATAAATTCCAACGTACTGTATAACTTAACATTCAAGTCAAAAATATTTAATAATAATAATAATATTATTATTATTATTATTGTATACTCCATAAACGTATATCATTATTCTCTTTCGGAACATCAATATAAAATTTTATTAAAACTAAAAGCAGTAAATATTAAGAAATAGCTACCCACCAAAGTTTATTACATAAGAGCCATTTTTCTTCGCTATCCAATTGCTACTGTAGGTTATATTAAGCATATTTCAATTTACATAAAATTATTTATTATTTAATGTAAAGCATTACAATTTATCTAAGCATAAATATACAAATTAAGGATTTTAGATCAAGTGAACAAATTAAAATCTACCCATTTTACAAATGGGTAGAAAAGCGGGAGAAAAGTGTAAAAATACAATAGCTAAAGTATTCCATTAATAAATTAAAGGGCTAATAAACATAGTAAAATTAATTATTAAAAAAATAAACTATTAATTGGTAATATTAATTTGCTATATTTTTCGTTTTTCAATTTCAATATTTTAAAATATACTTGAATTTCAAAAAAAAAAAAAAAAAAAATGCCTGAAAAATTATTCATTAAAAAAATTATTCATTAAAAAAATTATTCATTAAAAAAATTCTGAATTTTCTTACGACTATTTATCGTTAGTTTGTTAAATATACAGCTACATAGCTATTTATCTTTATTAAATTCAAAATAAAAACTGTAAGTACTGGTTATAAATTTTAAATGTTTTAAAACAGCAAACACAATAATACTAATCAAACATACAAAAAAAACCAAGTAATTAAATGTTAAAGTTAAGATTAAATTATATAAAATGTTATTTTCATGTAAAATATTTTAAAACTAAAAATGAATTTTTATTTTCAATACAAAACACATTTCGTTCGATCCGAAATTCATTTACAAAATCATAAAAACTTTATATTTTGACATACGTAAAGTAGTCAAAATCGTAACATTCAATGACATATTTCAGGGGAAAAAATTTCTAAATACCGAACAAATCACTATTCTCTATTATATAAATAAAATTCTTAATTACAGTAGAGCGTCGTTTATCCAAAGGTCGTTTATCCGAAGGTCGTTTNAAAGAAAGGTCGCCGAAAAAGTGTATTGTCTTGGAACATAAAACAATAAAATGGCAATCCCTTTTGGGCAGATTTCGTCTTCATTTTTATTGAAATACAATGAAACTTTTTAGGGACCATCCTCTCTCTCATCCAGGAGATGAACAACTACTTCTGGTCAAATTAACTACAAATCCTTACCCGCAACAGGTCCACTTTCCATCTGTTCAGAGGTATGATCACATTCGAATAGAAAAATTACTTAAAACAAAGTTACCAGCGAGCAAAAAAACATGTTTTTAGAGGTTTCTCGGAGGGTACAGAGTTTAAATATTTGGTCCATTTTTTGTGAAATTTGATCAGTTGATCGATTTAAATTAATTGATCTTAATTATATTTGTTTAAAATATTTGTTATAAAAACACTTGTACAACAAATAAATTTAAAATCTTAGCTTCATCAATTTCTCTACAATATGCAAAATTTTTAAACAATCTTCATTGATAATACAGAAATAACAAATTTAAAAGAAACACATAGTTTGTATCTCAAGAACTGGACGACTACTTGCTTGAGTGAATTTACAAACACAAAAATTTAATAACTAATGAATTAATGAAAATTGAGAAGAAACAAAAATTTGTTTTAAAAAACCTGAATGTTTGAAACATATTTTCTTGTCAATAAGTTTAGGGTAACTGTACCATGTTCCGCCTACTCTAACTGTTGTGCACTACTGAGGACTATGCGATGGGCAATAAGAAAGCAAACATCTAAAAAGAAGTACCGTAGGCAGGGAGATGTAATGGCGAGCGCAATGTGGTAAAAACGTAAAAAACAGTGACAAATAGCGTATCAAGAAAGTGGTGCCTATATCTGCCCACCAGTGCATCCAATTTACGCCCACTAGGCGATATTAGGCGCACTAGATATTGTGTAGTCGTATCAGATCGGAAGACCAAGAAAAAGCGGAATGCAATCGATACAAATGTAACAAAATTATTGGACTGGAAAAGTTAACAATACTTTGTATAAAAACTGCTTGCAGCCGGTGTTGTAAACAATAATAAGAGTACCATAATTACAACTTACTGAAACTTCCTTGCACCAAAAAAAAATCATTTACGCACGTCAAATTATACAGTATTTTAAACTTTTTCCGCCCTGTGGGCACTAAGAGGGCTTTTTTTAGCAAGTCCATTATGGGTTCGGTCGGGTCCATAACGGGGTGGCCGTTTGGTGAAGAGTATGCAGTACTATAAATACTGTATAAGAAAACATAAATAAACCAAATTGTTACTACAAAACTAAAGCAATGTTTTTATTACATCACTTTAGTTTTGTGGAATAGAAAATGAGCTTAAGTGTTTAGAAATTGTTCTAGTTATTAAACAGTTCAATTAATTAGTTCTCTGTGCTGTGGTCAAAATTAAACATACCCAAAACTCCGCTGAATTATTTCTTATATACTGAGAAACTAAGAATTCTCGATCAAATTTACCAAATTCAGAATGAAAGTGAAAATGATGTGATACAAAAATAGGCTTACAGAATACACGGACGGTTTAAACTCGTTTTCATATTTATCATCAGTCATTTAGGTGGCCAGGTTTTTTCTTAATCACCTTGTGTGTTGTTAAAACTGCTAATTAACAGGCAATGGATGTTGGTAATTGCATCGAGAACGATTTCTAAAAAAAAAACAACTTTCATAACGTTACCAAGGCTTGGAAGTATTCGTTGAATATTAAATTATAATAACTGAAAATCGGCTTTTGTAACTGCATAAAACCGAAAAAGCAGCAATAAAAATCTCAATAATAGTAAAAAGTAGCAAATTCAAAAATAAATCTTTATTGTTAGCAGATATTGCAAATTATTGAAAGAGAACGAACAATTAAGTGAACCCCTTAAATCCTTTACTTTTTAATGTACTGTTTACTAACACAATATAGTATTAATACCTACACTAGTATGATGGCTGAGATGGTAAAGAATTCGGTCTTCCGCTACGGGAGATCCGGGATCGAATTCGGGCGAGCAACCCCAAAAATTTCGCCCGAGTGGTGAGAACGGGATCAGTACATGCCGGATTCCGTCTCTCACTACTCGGTCACCCTTATTATGGATTAGACCAAGCCCATCTTTTGGACACTAAGACCCTCTTAATGCCCACAGAATGGAGTCAAAAATAAAAACAATAACCATATATATTTTATATTAATTTATATTTATGTTACTATTTTAATTTACGTTTAAATTACTATTATAGACCCTATAAATCTGCATTTTTTTTCAGTAAATATATCACAATTTTCGGTATATATGTATTTAATATATGTTAAAGAATTGATTGAGCAATTATAGAAAACATTACAAAATAATTAAGATGTAGACATTATAAATTAATGAAATAATGAAATATAGATGGTTGTATTAATATTACTATTATTAATTTCGCGACGCAATGGTTCGGTGAAACAGAAATGTATCCATTATCAATTTATTTCTCTTACGCTTTCAAACGAAAAAAAAATACAAAACTATTCTTTTTTCTCATCACACTTCCTTGCTCATAGATGACGTCAAGAGTTCAAATTAATACACTTACATTGATTCTGTAAACGTATTTGCATTATTAAAACATCTGTAATGATGTTATAATAATTATCTGTGATAGGAATGTATGTTTTCCATTAATTTTGCAATCTAGAGAGATTTAGATGTAAATTGAATGCATTTTAAAATTTTGTTATGATATTCTTATTTTTGACCATTTCGGAATTAATTATTATCTGTATTAAAAACAATATTATTTTAATTAAATATAACTAGATAAAAAATTAATTTATTAAATTATAAATTTTTTATCCATCTTTAATTGTTTTTCAACAACGATTTTCTGATTCTTTTACCATGATAAAGTGCTAGCATTAAAGTCAGGCTATTGAAAAACTGATAAAAACATTTTAGAATATTTTTTAAAGCGAGTAAGTCATCAATCAAGGACTTTTCCAAGAATACATAAAATTAAATCTTCCATTATTTTCATTTAAAAAAGATTTTTATCTTTCTATTTCCCCATAAAGTCAAAAAAAAAAGCTAATGATATCTCAATTCTAAATACGTTCATAAATTTATTTTCTAACTAATCTTAATGAATTTTTTGCAAAACATATGGTCTATTCACAACATTAATAACAGAAATATCATAAAAACGAGAAAATATGTAAATAACCATTTAAATTCAAACCAATATTGTATACAATTAAAGAGAGGAAAAATATTCATAAAAGACAACTTACATCCAATGAGCATAACCAGAATGGAAAATATCTTCTCCATGTTGGTATTGGGAGATACGTTTCCAAATCCGACACTTGTAAGACTTGAGAAGGTGAAGTAAAGAGCAGTGACATACTTGGCCTTGATGCTGGGTCCACCGTGTGAATTATTATAGTACTGTTGAGTATCATTGGCCAGATGGTCGAGCCAACCTATTTTTGGATTCAGAATCGGACGCTCGGCATTGGCGATGGCGTACCATATACAGGCCAACCAATGGGCAACCAGCGCAAATGTTGCCACGAGAAGAAGCAGCACAGCAGCACCATATTCGGAATATCTGTCTATCTTACGTGCAACTCGTACCAATCGCAGGAGACGCGCGGTTTTCAGCAGCCCAATCAAAGTTGTCGTCTACATTCGAAAAAAAGAGAAAGAAGATAGAGAGAGAAAATGATTCAGCCAAGAAATATCTGAACCAATTAAATGTTGTGTTGCTTTTTATGTCGCGTAAAAGTATTACGACTTATGGACCTGAGTGGTTAATTAGCCTAACTTACGTTTTTTTTCAAACAGAAAGAAATCGAAAATTATCCGCAAAAAAGTAAGAATTTGCATTTATATAGGCTTAAATGCTGTCAATATTTCATTTTCTGACTTCATTTTTATTAATACTTTTCCCTGATATATAATTTTTATCCTTTACTGAATTTATATTAAATACAGTATATAAAGAAAACATAATCTAGCAACAGCAAAAGCTAGGCGTGCTCTGATTAAATAGTAATAAATTGAAAATAAAATAAGTGCCAAATGTGTTTTAAATGTAAAAGAAATCTGCAAAAAAATAATAATAATAATAATAATAATAATAATAAACTTTGCAATAGTAAAACTTTGATTGGTAAAAAATTTATAGAAAATAAATTGCAAATTGCAACATAACATAAAACGCTATGTGACTGTGCATGTGAAAAAACGGGTGCTAAAAAGCCCTGCCACGCCTCGTGGCAACAAATAAGCCGGTTAAACCATGGTTAGCTTTAATTCAAAATATGCAACCCATTGCAATGCCCAGCGTTGCAGAAACAATAAGCAATAAACATGATCCAAAAATAATGCAGAAACACACACATCAATTACACTCTTCGTTGTTGGAACAAAAATAATAATATTTATAATGAATTTTTCAATTTAAAGATATAAAAGATTTTGACACTGATCTAGAAAATATTTTTTTTTTTATATTTTATAAAATTTTTATACAGATATGTAAAGAAAATTGATAAATGAATTTGTTCCAACACACAAATTTACACAGCTAACGAACTTTTTAACAAATCTCACCTCATCCGTCTGTGATCCGAAAAGAAGAAGATCAAATGGAATCGCTGCCACTACGTCAATAATAAACCAACCCTTTAAATAATGCACTGCAATCTTTCCGGGATGACTTACTACTTCGTCGTTGGAATTAACATAAGTAGTGCGGAAATTAATCAGAATATCTATAATAAACATAACGTCCACAATTAAATCGATCACTTGTATAGGATCTTCACCGTACTTCTTGCGTTTCGTTCCCTGCTTTTCTTCATTCAGCAAAAACGCTGCTACGTATGGTGTAAATATAGCAGTATAAATTACTAATAACAATACGATCCAATCCCAGACGGCTTTAAAGGGTGAATAATGAAGAATCGTCCACTTATGGATTCTGGGCTTCTGCAATTTGTACTCTGGCAACACGTCAGCTCCGAGGGACAGCACCTGAAGGTAAATCATATTATCAGAAATATTTTTTTTTAAATTTGACATTCGATCTTTATCTATTTTATTTTAGAATGAAAGATTATGGCGTAAAGCAAACATTTATATTAATTGAAATATTTTCTGGGTAATAAATCATGACATCATCTGTATACACTCAAAAAAGTTTCTCGAGTCTTATTTCGAATTGTAAAATATCATTCGGGAAATTTTACAATTAACAAATCGGTTTAAAATTACTTAATATAATAAGTAAATATCATTAAGAATAAAGATTAATAAAATAAGTACAATATATAGAGAATAAGTAAAGTAAACTATTATAAGACTGTTAAAAGGAAAACAAAAGCAATATTCTAAACATTCTTAAGTATAAAAAACATTCGGCATGTCATATCTGACATCAATTTGAGAAGAAATCTATTGAAATACAGTCGACCCCCCTATAACACCGTTGATTATTCCGTTTTATATGAATTCCATGTTGTACGAGTCACTTAGAATTTACAAATATGTGAGCCGTTCACAGCCTGGCACATGTATTTGTAAAATCTAAGTGACTCGTACAACATGGAATTCATATAATACGGAATTATCAACAGTGTTATAGAGGGGTCGACTGTAAATATAATGTTAAAAAAGAACACTATTGAAATTAAAATTAATTACTTATATTTCACATTGTACCGATAACATTTGACTTTATTATACTTATTAAATCTAATCAAGTATAAATTCAAAATTTTACACTGTCTAAATTAAAAACAATCAAGCTCAAAATATATTTCAAGTGTATCTTTTTTGAGATTGTTCATTTCTTGAAGAATAGAAATATAAACATATAAAAACTGTTAGATTTCAAGTCATATAAACAATAAAATGTATATATACTGTATAAAACTATTTTCATTATTACACAATTATTTTACATCATCAGTAAAACTTGTTATTGTTAAAATTAATTATCATACGTAAATATTAATAAATATCTAATTTCGTATTAATATAAATATGTAAAAATGTGTATGAATATAAAATGTTTATATTATATCAACTAGTTTATTATAAACAAAAGTAATAATAAATATAAATTTAAAAATAGTAAAGTTTTGTCTTAAATATATATAACATGTTCTGTACTATTGGCCTTCAAAAACGTACAAGGTTAATCGATAAATTTCTATCTAATGTAGACCAACAATTCAGAAGTTTTCAAACATTAACAAAAATAGACGATATGTTTACCTTAAAATAAGTTAATCCAGTAATATCAGATATATTTAAGTGAAGAAAAATATATTTTGAAACTGAAATAACATTATTTTTATATTAGTAATTATAATTTTTTTTTTTAATCGTGACACTAATTTCGAATGATTAAACATTTTTGAATAGTTAAATTCAATTATTTTATATATAAATTAATTAATTGAATGTTATTATATATAAAGAATAATTAAATTTTCTAAATTTATAAAACTATTTTTATATTAAAATGGTTTTAAAATCAGTACTACGATTAAAAATATTATTACTTAAGTATATTTTCATCCATATTTATATTAAATAAACATAAATTATATTATAGCTTATACACTAGAAACAGATTTGTAATTCAAATATCGTAGATAATACTTACCCATATAAAGAATTAAAGCATTATATGTACAGTATTGTACATTGAAAGTCATTAAACACTTAAAGTGATGACTTGA